AAAAAAAAAAAAAAATAATAAAAAATAAATAAATAAATATATAAATAAATAAAATAAAAAAATAAATAAAAAAATAAATAAAAGACACATATTAGTCGAGTTGAGGTCAAAATCCAGGTTTCAGTTATGAGTAATGAGATAATATAAATTAATAAAAAAATGTAAAATCAAATAAAAAATTAAAATTTATGAATTTTATTTTATATATTTTATTTCACATATTTTATTCTAAATATTTTATTTAATTTTTTTTTCTAGTTTAAAATTTATTTTTAATACTAAAATGAGCTAAAATGTGTTTTTTATTTAAATTAAGGGATTTATTTAAAACTATTTTTAATTTCTGATAAATTATTTATTTTCATTTTTTTAATATTTTTATATTTATATAAATTTTGTAATAAATATATTTTATTTATTTTTTTTTATTAACTATACTATAAACTATATAAATATATTTTTTTGTTTTTCGATTTGAGGAGGGATTAGAATCATTCACATATGATTTTGTTCAAATGTAACAACACTTGAAATTTATTTGGCCCAGTTTTGAAATTGAAATTTGGCAAAGGGTGTGAATGGCAGTGGTGTACTATTTTTTTCTATTGATGTGATGTTTCACTGATTTTGGGATTTGGGTTTTTTTCTATTCTATTTTTCTATTTCTTTTTTTGTTTTCGTTTTCTTCATGGGGGCTAAATAAAGTCAAGTGTTGTTTCGTTTAACCAGAGATATTACACCAGCATATTGTTTATAAATAGCGGTTTAAATTCTCACATCTTCTTTGATTGTTTTTTGGTTTTTCATTGGATAGTTTTGCTAAGCAGAGAATTTGAAAGCAAAACGAAAAATATCAAATTTGGAAGAAATTGTCAAATAAAACTAAAAAATCATAGTTTTTTTTAGGATTGGCATAAAAAGCTTAAATAATTAGAACTGGATAAATGTTGGCAGTATTTTTGGTTTTTTTTTTTTCAAGGCTTTGAAAACAATAACTTGCATAATATTCTGGTTAAACTATGTTTGGTTTTAGAGGGAGGTGGAAGCGGGGGGAATTAGCTTGTGTGTGTGTTTTTTTTTTTCTCTATTGGCATTTAACTTAAAGCGTAAGCAGCTAGGTGGTAGGTAGGTGGTGTTGTTGGGGGGCTGGATCAATGTTTTTCATTTAATTTTTGTTCCGTCTACAATGTAAGGCCCACATAAACGGCAAATTGGCAATGTACACTCCCACTTTTGACTTCAGTTTTTTTCATTTTGACCACTGCGTGTGTAAACTACTCTTATTGAAATGTATTTTGATTTTTTTTTTTGTTTTTTCACTTTTATAATGTGGATATTTTGTTGTTGTGATTTTCATTTCGTTTAGAGGTTTTTAATATAAATATGTTTAAATATTGGAAAAATATATATGTTTTGTTTTTATTTTGAAAATTAAAGTGGTTGGTTTTTAAAACTTGTTTTTTTATAAAGAGAAGTTAAGAAGGGGTTTTTATTATTGCAAAAATAATAAGGGTTAAATATTGAAGAAACAATCATTTTTTTAAATATATATAATTTTTAAATATTGTGGTATTAAAAATAAAATGGGTAAAAAAGTTTATTAAAATTAAAAATTATTATTTTTAATGTTATTTATAATTTTTTTTTACAATATTAAAAAAAATTATTTAAATACAAAATATAAAAAATTATAATGAAAAATTAAATTAAATATAAATCAAAGTTTTTTTTAAAATTAAAAAAAATATCAATGTACAAATTTGTAAAAAAACGAATATCTTTTGTAACAACTAATCATTTTTTACTCAAAAAAAGGAGAAGCTAAAATAAATATCTTCAAAATTATAAAAAATATATGTTTTGAAATAAGTAACACTAAAAAAATAAAAAAAGAAAAAATAAAAAAAAATATTTTTTATCATTTAAAAATAAAAAAAATAATAATAAGAAAAATATTAACTTACTTCAAATATAATTTAAAACTATAATTCAAAAAATATTCAGTTATTCTTTCCTTTTTTACAAATCTGAAAACAAATCTATCGTAAAAAATAATTATATTTTTCTGAAATAAAATACAGACGTTAAAATAAATATTTTCAAAAGTAAAAAAAAATATTAAAAAAATTAGCATTCGAAAATTAAAATAAGAAAAATTAATTAAAATATTATATAACCAAAAAATATATCGATATTAAATAATATAAAAAATATTGTATTTTTATGACTTACAAATTTAAGTAAAGAAATATTTTTCTTATTATAAATAAATTGAGAAAAATATTTGTTTATTATAAAATATACAATAATAATTATAATAAATAACAAAATAAATAAAAAAGACATACTTTAAATAATAATACAAAAAATATTCAATTTTTGGTCTAAAAATTTGTAGAAAAATTAAAAATATAATCATATTTTTTTTCAAGTTCAAAAAAATATACATATTTTGGCTACTGTTTTCAAAAATATATACCTTTCGTAAAAAATAATTAGAAAAAAATTAATGTTTTTAAAGCTTTTTTTTAATGGTTAACATTAAAAAAATAAAAATTAAAAAAAGAAATATTTTTTTATCTATTAAAAATTAAATAAAAAACAAAAAATATTAATTTTGAAATATCTTTCCTAAAATATAATCATTTTTTACTGAAATAAAATTCACAAAATAGAAAAAAAATCATAATTAAAAAAATATATTTTTTAAAATAATTACCATTAAATAAAATTAAATGGGAAAAAATTACCATTTTAAAACTAACAAACAAAATTAATAAATAACAAAAATATGTTTTACTGAAATAAAATGCAGAAGATAAAATAAATATGTTCCAAATTTAAAAAAAAAAAAAAATTATAAATTTTTAAAATAGTTAACACAAAAAAATAATAAAACTATTTTAAAACATTTAAAAATGAAGTGGAAAATAAAACAAATATTTCATTATTTAAATTATAAATCAAAAATATTCAATTGTTGTTTTATATATTTACAAAAAAAAAACTAAATATATTTGGTATATTTATAAGGATAAAAGAGCGATTTACAAAATAAAAAAGTAATAAATACAAGAAAAATAAAATTGACTTAAAAAAATATGTAATTCCCGTTTTACAAATTTATAAAAAAAGAAACAACTACAACAAAACTCCTTCGAAAAAATAATTATATTTTGCTGATATAAAATACAGAAGATATTATTTTCGAAATAAAAATATAACTATTTCTTTTTTAAATAATTAACTTAAAAAATAATAATTTATTGCTGTCAATTTAAAATTAACTTAAAAATAAGAAAAGTATTTACTTATTTTAATTATAATTTAAAACTAAACAAAAAACTCTATGTATATATTTTTAAAGAGTTATTTGTATTAACAAAAGAATACCAAACCAAACTAAATAATTTTATATTAAGAAAATAAAAATTGTATTTCAAATAGAGATTATTATACAAAAAAAAAAAATAAATAAATAAATAAAAATAATAATAATAAATAAATAAATAATACAAAAATATATAAACTGAATAAAAAAATAATAAAAAAAGATTTTATAAAAATTTATATGTCTAAAATATATAATATTATTCAAAAAAAAAAAAAAATAAATAAATAAATAAATAATACAAATATTTTTTCATACAAAAGTAATAAAGTATATATTATAAAAAAAAAAAAACAAAAAAATATATATAAAGAAAAAAAATGTATTTTTGAAAGTGATTAATATATAATAATACTTAAAAAAAATTAATAATATAGAAAATAATTACACACAGATATTTAACATTAAATTAAAACCGAATATAAAATATATTTTAAAATATATATAATTTTAGTCATAAAAAATAATAAACTGATAATTTTTTTATACAGAAGTAATAAAGTATTTATAAAAAATAATTAAAAATTGCAATTAAAAAAAAAAATTAAAATTAAAAATTAAATACTATAAAATTTTATATTAAGAAAATAAAAATAAAAATAGTATTTTAAAAAGTGATTCTTAAATAAAAATAAAAAAAGAATACGAAAAAAATTTACATTATTATTACTATTGTTATTATTATTATTATTATTATTATTATTATTATTATTATTATTATTATTATTATTATTATTATTATTATTATTATTATTACTATTACTATTTAATTTAATGCAAAATATTTTATTTTCCTAAACATAAATAGCGTAATTTAAGAAGAAAATACACAAAAGTAAATAAAAAAATATTTCATGTTAAAAAATTGTATAACAAATTAATTATAAAAAATAATAAAAATTATTTTTGTAATGGTACTTTGTCAAAAAAAAAAAATATAAAATTTAATAAAAACTGTTTTTATTTTTTATGTGAAAAATATGTTTAAAATTAATTTAAAAAATCTTTTTCAAATATAAATCAATTATTTTTATATTATAAAATAAATAATACAAAAAAATAAAATGTAAAAAATATGTTTTATTTTTTTCTAATTATTCAAACGTAAAAAAAATTCAAACGTAAAATTAACACTTCTATTAGTTAACTCTAAAAAAACTAAAAAATGCTTGCTTGTCATTTATTGTACAAGGTGCCAAGGAAACAACACAAAAATTCAGAAAAACTAAAACTAAACAATTTAAGCATTTTTTTTACAAGTTTGTTTTTTTAGATTAGAAATAATTAAAATATAAATTATTATTTTTTTTTTTTTTTTTTGAATATTTTACAAAATTAGGCATTGTTTATTATTTTGGCTTACCTTCTCCAGCTGAATTTCCTTTTGTGGAACAAACCTTAAAGCTTAAAAATCTTGTGTTTTTTTTTTGCTTCAAAAAATTTAGGTATATTATTTTGATCTTAAATCTAAACCTAAATTACCTTAGTGGAGACTTAATTAATTAGAATTATTAATATTTAATGCTAAATTTTCCCTTTTTAATATATTTTTATTTTTGTGTTTTTTTTGTAATTTTTTCTCATTCCCCTTTTTGGGGGCTCAACTTACCTGTTGTACATGAGCACATCGGGCTTCCACAGTTTATTTGGTGTTATTCTCAAGTCTTTGACACCGCCATACTCGGAATCATTCCATCTGAGATTGTAGTCATTCCACTCCTTTGGTGTTGTAGTTGATATTTATTTTTAATTCAGGGGCAGCAGAGGAATTTTAAAAAATTATGAAAAAAATATATTTTAGTAAAAAAATGGAAAATTGTTGAGATAAAAGGGTGTGTGAGAATGGCATTAAGGAATCTTTTTGGTAAAAGAAGGTGAAAGTCTCAAATTAAAGAAAAAATCGGAAAAAAGGAGCGGCATTTTAGTAAAATTTTGAATGTCTATAAATCGAAGTGCCCCAGAGGGACTTCTAATCATCTCCTATGAATTTGAATTTATTTTTTAGAAATAAATTTTATACAATATTCTGATACCAACAAACTTATATTGGATGGTGTTGTGATTTTTTTATTTTCATATAAAGGGTGTAATGAAAAAACTGCAACCAACTTCAGACTGCTGTCATTTCTAAGCCAATTGAGATGGAAAGCTAAAATTTTGCATACGTGCATAGTTTACCAGTAGACAGGCTTAGTTCGTTAATGAGCCATGTCGGCGCAGGTTTTCGTATAGCCCCCATATAACGGTACCTTCCGATATTCGGTATTTTAATGATTTTAGCGACATTATTTACCGGAATTTTTTATAATTTCGTATTTGAAGTTCGTAAGAGGTACGAAAAATTTGAAATGCTGTGAAAAAAAATTGTATGCTGGTCCAAGTCTTCGTATAGCCCCCATATAACGGTACCTCCCGATATTCGGTATTTTGATGATTTTGGCGACACTATTCACCGGAATTGTTTCAAATTTGGTATTTGAAGTTCGTAATGGATAATACAGCCTATGACAGAAAATTGTCTGTGCAGGTCGAGGTCTTCGTATAGGTCCCATATATCAGTACCTCCCTATATTCGGTATTTGGACGAGTTTAGGTACAATACCACCGAAATTGTTTGAGATGTCGTATTTGACGTCCGTAATGGATGCCATAGCCTGTAACAAAAAATTATCTGTGCAGGTCCACGTCTTCGTACAGCCCCCACATATAACGATACCTCCCGACATTCGGTATTTTGATGATTTTAGCGACATTATTCACCGGAATTGTTTCAAATTTGGTATTTGAAGTTCGTAATAGGTACTACAGCCTATGAAAAAAAAAATTCGTATGCAGGTCCAAGTCTTCGTATAGCCCCCATATAACGGTACCTCCCGATATTCGATATTTTCATGATTTTAGCGAAATTATTTATCGGAATTGTTTCAAATTTCATATTTGAAGTTCATAATGGTTACTACAGCCTAAACAGAAATTTGTCTGTGCAGGTCCTCGTCTTCGTATAGCCCCCATATATAAATGTACCTCCCGATATTCGGTATTTTGATGATTTTGGCGACATTATTCACCGAAATTATTTCAAATTTCGTATTTGAAGTTCGCAATGGGAACTACAGTCTGTGACAGAAAATTGTCTATGCAGGTCGAGGTCTTCGTATAGGCCCCATATATCAGTACCTCCCTATATTCGGTATTTTGACGAGTTTAGGTACAAAACCCACCGAAATTATTTGTGATGTCGTATTTGAAGTTTGTAATGGATGCTACAGCCTGTGACAAAAAAAAATTGTCTATGCTGGTCCAGGTCTTCGCACAGCTCCGATATAACGGTACCTCCCTATATTCGGCATTTTGATGATTTTAGCTACATTATTCACCGTTTATTTCAAGTTTCGAATTTTAATATGATAATGCCTTATGACAAACAATGCCCATGTAGGTCCACTTCGCATAGACCCCAATTTTTAAAATTTTAAGAGAATTGTTTAAGGATTTTAATTTTTGGAAATTTTCAAATTCGGCCCGGCCGAACTTACTGCTTTTTATTTTGTTTTGGTTTTGGATTTAACAAAAAATTTAAATAATACAGCAGAGCAACATTCGGGCAGCTTGTGACGGTTTTATTGGCCGTTTGAAGGCCATAATTCGTGCCAAAGATGACCAATTCGAACAAATCTAAACCTATTCTAAAATTTGATGCTATTTCCGACATTTTTTGCTTTTATTCATAAAAAATATTTATTTTATTTATTTATTTATTTATTTTATTTTATTTATTTATTTATTATTTATTATATAATATTTATTTATTTATTATTTATTTATTTATTTTTTATTATTTATTTATTATTTTATTCATTTTTTTATTTTATTTTATTTTTTTATTTATTCATAAAAAAATAAACGTAAAAATTATAGACTTTGACTTTGTTGCAGTTTTTTTTTATATCTCACCCTGTAGATATTGTTGTAATATTATTTTTTTGTATTTCCATATTTGTTCCATTTCAATTTTTTTATTTCAATACAATTTTTGTAGTCATTTCCTTTACGACACTTTACCAAAAAGTTTCCTTTCCGCCTTGTAGTGGTGTGCCATGTAAATTAAATTACAATCGATTCTAGTCTGTGAATGTAACTATGTATGTGTGTGTGAGTGTGTGTTTAGAAATGTTGAAAATGTATTGTCTATGTGTTAAATGAAATGGCGACACTATTAAACAAAACTAAACTATTTTTCAATACACAGAAAATTTGTTGGTTATTTTTTTTTTTTTTTTTGGATTTGTTTGCTGATTTGGTTCATTCACTAGTTATTAGAAAAATATATATAACAAAAAAAAAAAAAAAAATAAAAATTACTATGGTTATTTCGCAAACATTTTTATACTACACTAAAATAAATATTGACTAGAAAAACATATTAAAATTCACAAAAAAAAATTATACAAAAAACCCCAATAAGGGAGCAACAATTTGTTTTATTTTCACACTAAACCAAACCAAAAATTCGTCATAACAATAATTCACAACAGTCATTAGTGTTTGTTGTTGTTATTGTTGTTTATTGGTACTTTGGGTAATAAAATCAGCACTTAACCACGGTAATAAAATATTTAAAATATTTTCTGGAATTTATTTTTTGGGGGAAATAAAAACAAATACAAAAAAAAAAATCTATATAAATATTTAGAAAATTCATTAAATATTCAACACTTTCACACAAACAACAATACGACGTTACACAAAGCAGGGTTACTTATGGCAAACATTTCAGAAATATTTTCGATTTTTTTTGGGTTCGAAAACATTTAATGAAAAAAGGATAGGAAAATGGAAAAGTCATGCAGCATTAAAATGTTTAATAATAAAATTTTAGTTTCATTCTATATTTTTTTTTATTCATTTTATAAATGATATACTCCGGAAAAGCTCTTGGAAAAATCTCTAAAATGTTTAATTTTTTATAAAATTTTTCTTCAAACATCCATGTCTGCCTAAGTCTCCGAAAAAAATATTTTTGAAAAGTCAGGACTGTTACCGTCATAGAAAAAATATTTAAAAGAAATCACAGTTGTTATAGGCTTTAAAAAAATATTTTTAAAAATTGCAACTGTGTTCTATCAAATTAAAAAGAATATTAAAAAAAAGTCTTCATTTCCAAAAAAAAAAAAAAAAAATAAAATATCTCATTTTGGTATTACTTGAAAAAAAAGTTTTTAAAAAAATCCAAGTTTATGGGTGTTTAAAAAAAGCAAAAGCGTGTTTTTAAAACATATATATATACAAAATAACATGATTTTTTTTTGAAAATTCCACATTCGTTGAATTATTTATTATTATAAATATAGTTTTTATATATTTTTTTCTGAATGATGCACTACATTAAAAATATTTTTTAAAGCCTATAACAACTGTGAATTTTTTTAAAAATATTTTTTTCTATGACGGTAACTGTCCTGACTTTTCTAAAATATTTTTTTCGGAGACTTAGGCAGACATGAATGTTTAAAGAAAAAATTTTAATTTTATATTTATTGAAGAACATTTTTTTTATGAAATTTTTCTTTAAACATCCATGTCTGCCTAAGTCTCCAAAAAAAGTATTTTTGAAAAGTCAAGACTGTTATTGTCATAGAAAAAAATATTTTTAAAAAATTCATAGTTGTTATAGGATTTAAAAAAATATTTTTAAAAATCGCAACTATGTTCTATCACTTTTTAATTGAAAAATTAAAAAGAATATTAAAAAAGAGTCTTCATTTCCAAAAAAAAATATCTCATTGTGGTATTACTTGAAAAAAAGTTTTTAAAAAGATCCAAGTTTATGAGTGTTTAAAAAAATCAAGTCTTCAAGCGTGTTTTTAAAACATATACATACAAAATAACATGATTTTTTTTGAAAATTCCACATTTGTTGAATTACTTATTATTATAAATATTGTTTTTCTAAATGTTGCACTTCATTAAAAAAAAAATATTTTTTTTTTTCGGAGACTTCGGCAGACATGGATGTTTGAAGAAAAATTTAAAAAAAAGTAAAAAATTATTCTTCAAACATCCATGTCTGCCTAAGTCTCCGAAAAAAATATTTTTGAAAAGTCAGGACTGTTACCGTCATAGAAAAAATATTTTTTAAAAAATTCACAGTTGTTATAGGCTTTAAAAAATATTTTTAAGAATCGCAACTGTGTTCTATTACTTTAAAAAATTAAAAAGAGTCTTTAAAAGATTCTTTAAAAAAAGAGTCTTTATTTTCAAAAAAACAAAAAAAAATTCTCCTTGTGGTATTACTTGAAAAAAAGTTTTAAAAAAAACCAAGTTTATGGGTGTTTAAAAAATCAAAATCGCAAGCGTGTTTTTAAAACATATACATATAAAATAACTTGATTTTTTTTTTGAAACTTCCAATGTTTATTTTTTTTATAAAATTTTTCTTCAAACTTCCATGTCTGCCTAAGTCTCCGAAAAAATATTTTTGAAATGCCAGGACTGCTACCGTCATAGGAAAAAATATTTTTTAAACAATTCACAGTTGTTATAGGCTTTAAAAAAATAATTTTAAAAATCGCAAATATGTTCTATTACTTTAAAAATATTAAAAAAGTGTCTTTAAAAAAGAGTCCTTATTTAAAAAAAAAATCTCCTTGGGTTATTACTTGAAAAAAAAGTTTTTAAAAAATCCATATTTATCAAACATTTTTTTTTTTTTTGAAAAT